TAATATGTCTCTTATATATATCAATAATGACACTCGACATCTATCTCTCCATATACACTCACGTATATCTCATATATATCTCATAAACACACTCGTATATATATATATACATATATATATATATACATATACATATATATATATGTATATATATATATATATATATATATATATATATATATATATATATATATATATATATATATATATACATATATATATATATATATATATATATATATATATATATATATATATATATATATATATATATATATATATATATATATATAGGTATAGGTATAGATATAGATGAATATATATAAAATATAGATATAGATATAGATAATAATAGATATATATATATATATATATGCATATATATTATTTACCTTATATATATATATATATGTACATCTGTATACATACAAAAACATATGCACATGTATATACACGTACACATCCATATACATATGTAAATTTATACACATGCACATACACACATATACATGGATTCAAATGCACCCGACTTACACACACGTGCATATGTTTGAAACCTACCAGAGACTGCGTTTTGACCCATGACATCAACGACATATGTCTCGTCCTGTTTGAACACAAACAGGGGCAGTCCTCTGCGGTCGTAGATGGGTTCATTCTGAGGCGAAAACCGGTAGTCAAACCCTGCAGCCAGCATACTATTCATAGCCTCACTCTACAAAGCAACCAATGAAAGTACGGGATTAGGTGATAAAAAAGAACATCTAAAAATAACTACCAATCAAACTCGCCGGAAATCACTGGCCCATCCCTCTGACCTCCGCCGCATCCTTCCTCAATTTAGCCAGTGGTCACTTTATCTAATCTGTGGTAGTGACTACTCCCAATGTACTACAATTGGGTGCTAATAGAAGTGTCAGAGATCCATCACAGGTTTGTACTTATCCTCTATCTCATAACAGGGCCTGTTAAATGTGGTGACAGGAATCGGGGCAGACCAGATTTGGGTCCAATTTATAGTCATGAATTGGCAGTATCCCCCGTCTATGCTGCCCAACAACGGAATGAAAGCCGATGTGGTCCCAAACCACACAAGAAACCACGCACACGGTAACTATGTATGATGAGTTGTATGTACTTAAACCGAGTGTGAGCCATGCACACATAACAGTGACCTCCATACGAACGACGCCATTTAATAATTGGTCTACACGTGTCACATTTAACACAGTACTAGTGCACCAGATAAACCTCCATGACACACCTAATCAATATAGTAGAGTACTGCTTGTTATACAGCTTGTATCAAAAATCGTGAAGGAAGTTGATTCTCATACACCATACAACAAAAGGCACGGAAGGTGTCTCCGTACATACTACAGAGTGGCAGCCACTTACGCATAACAAACGCTAACTTAAACACGAAATACACCTCACCTACCAGCGATATAGCACACATAACAAACGCATAACAAACGCAAACTTAAACACGGAATACACCTCACCTACCAGCGATATAACACACATAGCAAACGCATAACAAACGCAAACTTAAACACGGAATACACCACACCTACCAGCGATATAACACACATAACAAACGCATAACATAGCTACAGCATACAGGAAATAGTGTATAGGGTTAGCCCATACATACCAAAGTCATAGTGCTCAGATTCATATGATACAGCACATTCTGGGGGAGAGCATCAATGGCAGCTTGGGCGGCTTTTTCGGCTTCTAATCGCACGGCTTCATTCTGTTGAGGCAAGATAGAACATTGATAGCATTACATATGTGCTCTATGTAATGTATATGTATATGTATATGTATACATGTATATGTGCTCTAGTGTGCACGTATAGGTGCAAATGCATAGGTGAAGACCAGCAGATGTATTGTAAGCAAAATCATTTTAACT